AATTAATAATTATGCAATATAAAAACTTACCCCCTTCACAGAGGATTTACTTAAAAAGTCTTTATAGAAACGACTTATGGGTTGTCTAATCTGTTTCTTTCTCGAGGCAAAGGACGACACTTTTTCTTCTGCCTCTTCTATAATTGTCGCAAGTGTCCTGAAAAAATAGTAAGATTAAAATAGAGCATTAGTTCAAAAGGTACCCACCCACCCACATATCCAAGCTCTGGCTATAGCACACTGATGATCATTTCATATAAAAGTGTGAAGAGTTACAAATACATACCATGAAAGCTTATTAGGTTATTATTACATCTCATACTTACTTCATTGTATTGATACGAGCGGAAATCTCCATGAATCGCTTCTTGCAATTATCTCCAGAGTGGTCACCAAATGCCACTTCATCCCAATCAAAAATTTTCAATCTGACCCGACAACTCTTGGTGTCCTTCTTGGGTGCGAGAGCCTTCATCTTCTCCAGCAGCTCTAGTTCCTCCTCCATAGTCCAGTTTTGACACTCTGTAATAAACATTAGGTGCCAGTGTACAGGGAGGGAACCAATAATCATACCCATCAACATTCACACAAGGGGTGAACACTACCTACTGAGCTATATGCCAGCAACACTGAATAACATCCACTGCTAAGGTGGTGTATTCCCAACTGTATGGACATGATTCACATTTGAGAATTGACAACTTTTGCTGGTCATGAAAATTTTTGGCCCAAGATGTAGGGACTACTCAGGCCACCACTGTCCCTCCAACACCCTAAATTTTCTCATCAACTTTGGGTAAACCTCAGGAATAACTCCAGGGATCTAACAGCCAGAAATCCAGACAAGTTTGGAAAATTCTCAAGCATGATGCTACGTATCCACAGGAAATATTAATGTTGACAATTTGTACAAAACTATTTATGTGCCAGAAACCTGTCTTGAACAAGATTAAGTTCCTACAATTTAAGTGATTAAGTCTAGGCCACTTGACATTATACATATAATACTGTATTATCATTTAATTGCTACATCAGCTGATTAACAAAGTATATGTAGCAACGTACCTACTTCAAGGTCCTCATCTTCCACACTCACAACTTTTTCAGAATTACTCCTTTGCTTTTTATTCTCCATTTTAGATGGACTTGATGGACTTTCAGAGTCTTTCTTTAACTGTCTTTTCATAGAAGTCTTTAGTACATTGTCTGCAGGAACTTTTACAGGAGACATCGATGAAACATTTTCTTGGGATTTCTGAAAAAATAAATAAAAATAAATAAATAAAAGGAATATTTCTTTAAGTCCTGTAATCAAACTGTTACTGACACATGCACACACTATAGCACTACACCGACAAACATCCTATTTCCTTCCCTTTAAGGTGTAATGGCATCCCAGGACGCACGGCGTAGTAGGGGTCTATTGGCATCCCAGTAGCGCAGCGAATTTTATATTTTCCCGGGTAACTAGTCATGCTGTTTATGCACCGAAACCTCATCCCTGCATCTATTAGGCCATGTTTCCTTCAGTACCACACATTTCTAACCCAGAAGTGAGTGGTAAATGTATTGTACAGTATATAGTGTAGATACAGTATGACTAGGGTCTGTGGGTCTGCCATCACTCACCCTACACCTCGTTTTAAGTATATAACTGTACAGATAAATATAAGTGAAACTAAATCGTATAAGTGATACTACAATAAAGTAAGTAAGTGACCCCTTTGTCCTCCAACTTAAGATTAGTCCACTACAATGTAAGTACACTGTAGATAGGTATTGTTAACTTTGATTTTGTTTATGGGTGTAATTTTTCAGTAAAACGGTGGTCCAAATTACCGGGAAGGGTGGGGGGGTTCCCACACAAGTCAGACTTTCAGATAAATCGGACTAGCTTGAGCCCCATATAGTCTGACTTATGGGGAGGTGTTACTACAATAAGAAAAACTGTGAAGGTGCTGTGAAGTTGTGAGAACATGAAGAGTGAGTTGGTAGTGTGTCAAGTGGAATCCTACATTATCAGACCTTTCCTTATCTCTCAGTCAGTTCACACTAAGATACAGAAGGGTGATGACTCCCTGACTTCTCTGACTCAGCAACAACCATAAGTGATGAGTTCAGAGGGGTGATGACTCCCTGACTTCTCTGACTCACCAACAACCATAAGTGATGAGTTCAGAGGGGTGATGACTCCCTGACTTCTCTGACTCAGCAACAACCATAAGTGATGAGTTCAGAGGGATGATGACTCCCTGACTTCTGACTCACCAACAACCATAAGTGATGAGTTCAGAGGGGTGATGACTCCCTGACTTCTCTGACTCACCAACAACCATAAGTGATGAGTGATAATTATGCATTTCTTATTCCCTAAAATATATTTCTCACATTAAGACTATAAGAACCTACTCACCAATAATGCTAACTCCCCAGATACTAATATATGAGGGGTTGATCATGAACTGTTTTTTTCTTTCTAAACAAGACAGTAGAGAAGAGTCGTGAAATCAATGACTCTTGAATAATCTGAAGTAGCCTCACCATCCTGCCCCTCCTTCCCACTCCCTAGGCAAGAGCATCTTAGCCACTACTTCGGTTAACTTTCTCCAAATCTACTTCCACCTCACCGGGAAGAAAGAAAGACTTCTAAATAAACACCCACAACACATGTAGATTGATTGGCCAACTGACACCCACAACACACATAAACTACAAAATCACAAACCTGGCTACAAATCCTGGAAATAATAGTATCAAGACCTCAGCCAATAACTATGGTACTGTACATATCTGGCAGTAAGACAATGTCAATTTTCTTCACTGCCAAAACATACCATAAACTTATTCTCTACTATACCACAGCCTCACATTTCCCGCCATCTACCCATATTATTGTTCTGTAAATCACCCAATCAGAGTAACCATCCACCATCAGACTCACATGATTGCCATTACCAGCCACCTTAGTCTTCTTCTTCTTCTTCTTCTTCTTGGGTTTGGTGATAATACAACTATCAAGCTGTTCTGTGTCCTCGGGTTCGACTTTCATTGCAACCTCTTCAAATGCCCTTTTCTTTTTCATTTTTAACTTTTTTGGTGATTCTGAAAAAGAATAAAAAAATTAATTAAATAAATAAATAAAAGTTAACTATTTACAGTAGGGTATAATATTTCAAGAGTGGGTGAATTGTAACGAGCAACGGCAAATGCAAAGTAAGACTCAACATAAACACACACGGTAGGTTGTTACTTGATAAACATACACGTGGCCTATATACCTGCGACTACAACAATGTAATTAAATACAGTAATACCCCGCTTAACGCGGTTTCGCTTAACGCGGTTTCGCTTAGCGCGATTTCACGCATACGCGGTGCCTCGCCAGAGCCGAACTTTCACTTAACGCAGGTTTTATCCATGTATACGCGCAGAGTGTCTGGCTCGAGACGCTATTTTTAGATTCGCCCCTCCCGCCTGCCTGCTCTCGCCTCTCCCTCCTCGTCCCTCCCTCTGCCTGGGCAAGCCGCACTGTAAGGTTGCGCAGTGTGTGTCTTCTACTAACATAAGTGTTACACCTAACTTTTAGTTTTCCTAACCTAACCTTTATTTTTCCTAACTTAACCTTTATTTTTCCTAACCTAACTTCTTCTATATTACTTGTTTGTTCATACCATCATAAAGTTAAGATAAAATTTTTACTACAACATAGTTGTGTGTCGTCAAAAAGTGGAGTTTGGGGGTCGGGCCAGTTTCTATTGGAATTAATCCCATATGTTCTGTTGTTCACTTAGCGCAGTTTTCACTTAACACGGTACCCTGTGGGTTCTATTGACCGCGTTAAGCGGGGTACTACTGTACAGTTCAATCTCAACCGTAATATAATCTGTAAAATATGTAATTACACGTACTTTATAAATTTGGCACATACACACACTTTGCCATCACCCACTGTAACATTACTGTACATGAGTCTCCGAGTTACAAACACCGGACGATATGAACGACGTCCCTTATGGTCAATTATTTTAAGGACCCGACATAGGTACAACTGGTTCGTAGTGTTAACGTATGAGAACTAGGGTAGTTTGTGTGGTGTAGAGGGGAGGCAGAGCGGCGCGTGGGGAGCAATGCATCGCCCGGCCACGTGCCTCGAGGGAGCATCAGTACGCTTCACCCTCACCGCCTTAACGTGTGTGATCAAGTACAAATTGTTGTTTTTTGTGTATTAACTTTTTTCTGGCCTCATCATGGCTCCCAAACAAGTGATTGTAGTGCATCCAAGAAATGAAAAATAATTACGATGGAAGAAAAGTTGATGTAATAAAACGTTCTGAAAAAGGCCAAACACCCTCAGTGGTTGGTAAAGCGTTGGGCTTCAGTCGGTCAACGATCGTAACAATTTTGAAAGGCAAACAGAAAATTCTTGAACATTTAAAAGGATCTACACCAATGCACTCAACTGTGATAACAAAACAAAGAAGTGAATGTGAATTGAAATGGAAAGATTGTTAGTGATATGGGTGGAAGATTAGCCAGTCTCAAGGTTTAGATGTAAAGGTTAAAATTGAATTATTACTTTCCTTTACTGTATTTTGTCATTCAATTTCTTTTTTCTCTTAAATTAAGTGATTTGAGATGTATAAAAGGACTTAGGCTATGATGTAGTGCACATAAGGCACGTGTTCCGACTTAAGAACGTCCTCAAGAACGGAACTCGTCAGTAACCCGGGGACCCCCTGAACCATAAAACAATTGACATTAAGCTATCTTATAATTTAACTCTATGTCATGCTGTTCTAACACTATTACTCCATGCTCTAATACTCAATGCCATTACACTAAGTAACACCCCACCATCCCCACCTTCCTTCAGACCAACATAGCTCGCTGTACAGGGTCTCATAAGTCCTTCACCACGGGTGAAATAATGTGTCCTTTTACTTATTTTCAGACGATGGAATCATGAAAATTACCATCAGAGAAGAGAAAAGAAAAAAAAAACCACACACACACACACACAAGATGCTGTACAGGTTTTCCTCTCCAATGACCCCAATATTTTGTGTTTCTCGGTACCGGCGGCAAGTTTTGGCAATGGACAGCACCAACTTCTCTCTCACTGGTGGTAAATGTACGGGATAAGTACATTATTGATTCCATTATGTTAAGTTATCTAGAATACATCCCCTATGCCACTATAGGTTCTTCAATGATGGTCTTGCCAAGGAATAAAATTGGGAGGGAGACCTGTACTGTATTAAATTAATGACCTTAAATATTAGGGGAAAATAATGTTCCTGATTCATTTTGGTTAAGTTCCACACATGTAGGGAACAGAAAAGGTCTTTTCTTCAGGGCCTGACCCCTAAATACTCTTAGACACACTCATTTTTCTCAGTGGCATATAGCTCTCCACGTAGGGAACAGAGAAGGTCTTTTCTTCAGGGCCTGACCCCTAAATACTCTTAGACACACTCATTTTTCTCAGTGGCATATAGCTCTCCACTATTACTATTCTAGGAGTTCTTCAGGAAGATCACTTACTTTCTGTACTATCTATAGTTGTGCCAGCTGCCACTTCTTCACTTCGGTCTTCAATCAGAAACTTGTCTTTCTTCTTTTTCTTTTTGCCTGAAAATAAATTCCTAGTTATTATACTTAAATCTATCAACATCAGGGTTTAAAATATACACCGTGCTGTATTTATACGGAAGACAGCAAGGGGACCTCTTAGCTTGAGAGGAGTGTGTGTCGTTGTCTGGCAGAGGGACTCGAGCAATTAAAGAGGATGACGAAAGTAGGTTTAAGCGAGCCGAAATGAGGATGGTCAGACAGATGTATAATGACAGGAATCCCTCTTCAGAGCCAAGAGGTCAGCTAGGAACTGAAAGCACTGGTGAAGTTTGATGAAGAGAACCACATGCATGAGAAGAGGCCAAAAATGACGTGGGGGCGACGTTGGGAGAAATTACCTAAGAAATAAGAACCTGACAAGAGAGGCTAGACGAGTCTGTGCGGGTTGAAGAGCTGCCATCAGGTTATCACAGCTAACCCATCCATGTGTGGAAAATGGCCAGAAATAGGTGATTATGATGAATTACCAGTCCAGCTGTATGATGTTCCTTATAGAGTATATACACACACACACACACATGTCTGGTAATTCAACATACCTAGCTCCAACTACCCTAACCATTACTCTGGGATGAATAGTACAATATTCTTTAATAAAACATTAAAATAATCGATAATTTTGAAACACCCGTGACCCTGACCATTCTGGATAAAACACACAGCAATGTATCATCAAATCTTTCTGTCTGACATCATGGGACACATAGACTGGTTAAGCTCATGTATACATTCTGATGATCATTTAGTCTAGAGGTACAAGCCTGAGACACATTGTACAGGAGGATTCAAAAGTCTGGAATCATAGCAATTATTTTTAACTCTGTTCTTCCTTTGTATTTTGGATGAGACAATCACTGTGAGGTTGATGAGAGGCCATGGACCAAGAGAACACCTCCCTCCCTGCCTACATAGACCAGATGTGATGCCACGTGACTGTTTCCTTTAGTGATGCCAGAAACAAGTGGCTTACAAGTCAATAACAAAACCATAATGAAAACCTAAAAAAATGTAGTAGTGTATTCAGAAATGGATGTGTTGAAACCAGGGCTGTGGAGTCGAAGACAAAACCTTCGACTCCGACTCCGACTCCTCAAATTTTTATGCTTCCGACTCCGACTCCGACTCCTTGGCCTATTTGTAACAACTATTTCTACCATCCTAATTGTAATTTGTATGTTGTAACCTGCATAGGTAAAAAGTAAAACACCGTGGCTATACTGCTACAGCTTTATTAATGATCTGGACGATATTTAAGAACTACAAAAAGATGATAGGCTTGACTTTCAAAGTTTCAATCAAAAGAAAAATAAATTTATTAAGAATTCAAGATATTAACTAGAAAACACCATTTACATGTATATCTAAAAGTTCGATCTCAGCATATGAATTTTGTTTAAGCTCATAATCTGATGTGGATCTAAATGATGATCCTACAATTCCTTTTAAAGTAAAGTTATATATTTATGTACATTAAAGAAATGAATACCTTATTAAGGAAAATGGATAAACCTTACATGATTAAGTTATTAAATTAAATTTGCCTTAATCTCACCAAAAACAGGTTGTAGCTAATTGTTTTGTAGCTGAGAGCCTCTGTGCAGTTTTCAACGAAACAAAATTTGATATAATTCAAAATTTCAAATGGTAAAGAAGAGACTATCGTCCAAAATTATAGTGCTATACTGTGCCTGCTACAATAAATTCATAATAATGCTTATAAAATGGAAATAAATTCTTTTAATAATTTAAGAAAATTAGTAGAATCACTGCAATGAATATGCCTGAGTTCATATATTTGTTCTTAGGAACAGAATAGCTTCAGTCGGAGTCGGGACAATTTTACCGACTCCGACTCCACAAGCCGAAATTTCCTCCGACTCCTCGACTCCGCAGCCCTGGTTGAAACCTACTGTATGTGTCAGTAGTAAGAAAGAGTGTGTGTGTGTGTGTGTGTGTGTGTGTGTGTGTGTGTGTGTGTGTGTGTGTGTGTGTGTGTGTGAACAATCATTATAATAAAACTGAGTTATGGACCTTTGACTCCTCCTGTACAGCACAGTAGCTATACTATTTAACATTTACTCATAACACTTACTGGCACCTTTTGCAGACTCTGCCCCTATAAAGTCAGTGATACAACGTTGCGTAGACATACTGAAGTCTCGCTCCCCTGTGAACAACAACCTGGTGGAGATGAAACATACATATATAACAAACACCACATTATAGGTACCATTATTAGTCACCAGTGTTAAAGTCACCACAAGAATCTATGGACTACCCAGGCAGGTATTCTTTGAATACTGGTACCTCAGGGAGTTACAACCCTGACTTGCCAGCTGTTCCCACCCTATAGGTGTAAAACTTTACTTCCAACATGACTGATGGCAAACAGGTCACCAAAACTGTTCCCGTCCCCTGGTCTCTGCTGCAGTTTCTGGACTGGTGTCCTGGGGGTTTGTGGTAGTGAGTGTGGAGGAGCATACCCTTCTAATTTTACCCAACAGCTACCATGAGGCAATCAATTGTGGGAAATTACCTTAAATCATTCACGATTCAGTACAGTGAAAGGTTCTCAAAAGGCTGAAGACTATCATCCTTGTATTGTATATACAGGTTGAGGTAAGTCACTGCGCACCTCCCGTAGACAACGAGTATATTCTTCAGTGACACAATCAACTTGGTTCATTATTGTGAACTGATTCTATACCCCTTCAGTGAACATTTAAATGCGGACGAAATTGCCCACAGCTAATTCCAGCAGGACGGTGCTACCGCACACACAGCTTGTGTCTCCATGAAGCTACTGTGCAATGTGTTCGGAGACAATAATTTCAAAGGACATTTGGCCACTATGGTGGCTACATCTTACACCCTCTGATCATTATTTGTGAAGAGCAATGAAAGGCCCAGTTTACAAAGACAATCCTCACACTCTTCCTCAGGTGAAGGAATCCCTTGTAAATTTCATCAAGTAGAGAAAGTCATTGCAATTTCACCAGGAACATCTCTCAGATTGAATTGTTGCATATCTTTGCAAACGAAACAAGACATGTACCGTACGTCTACAGGCACGTGGGTGCCAGTTCTAACAATTGTTGTAACTAAGTGAATATGGGAAATGTATTTGTATTAATGTACAGACTCTCTCTGAATATACTCATTGTCTACAGTAGGTGCACAGTGACTTTTGACTCACCCTGTATATGCCACAGAATATGAAGGTAATGGAGAAATTATTAAACGAGGCAGAAAACGATGTATGAAGCAGGCCGTTCAAACTAGTGTCATCTAACCTAACAATTAATGAGTCTCATTAAATTAAAAATACAACTTATTTCACCTGACACTAACACTACCTTGAGGGGGGGGTTACTGTAGGTTATAAAAAATGAACAACCTCTCAACAGGCACCAGACATAACTTACATATTGAATTCTGTAATGTCATACCCGGTACCTTAAAGAGTTGCTGGATCTCTTGAGGATTAAGAGCCCTTGCTTATTTTACCTGATGATTAAACACCCTAATGCTAACTCAACTCCCAAATAAGATTTTGGTGTTTAGCTGAATAAAATCACCTGCAATTAGCCAAAGCAAAACACCAAAGTGGAACAACAACCCTTAAAATGGTAATCATCAGGTGGAATGACACTCACAATGCACAATCACCTTTTGACACAAACTTTTCACATAAACTCATTTACCAACAAGAAGCTATGATTGGCTGGTTCATTTGTATCCCCAGACTAACACAGTACAGTACAGGTATTATTATTATTATTACAGTACAGGTATTATTATTATTATAATTATTATTATTATTATTACGACAATTGCAAATCCTCCCTAGCATCAACAAGCTTCATCCTCTTAAGCCCCGTTTTTTGATGCAAGCAGTGATGCATAGGTGGAGAACGTCCACATTAGCAGCCTACTGCCGACAACACCTACACCAGTCGTTTACTTGAGAGAGAGAGTAAGGACGCTTAGGTACAGGAGACATAGTGGCTTTATGCTGTGCAGAAAAAAAAAAACATCGGTGTAAAAAGTGGCCATCGCGTCTCAAAAATGCCTCACGTCAGAGTTTGCCCGGGCCTCACACAACACTAAAAAACAAGACAATGCAACACCAAGGTCATCACGGCGCGCATCATAAGTCCCAGTGTAGACGGGCCTTTATGGAATATTAATACTATATTTTAAACGAAGGAAAGGGTAAATTATAAACATCGTGAATAGAAAAGTTTGGTAAATGCTGTAGTGTTCATTTTGGCACCCAATCAAGTTTAGCAACAAGGAAATGTCTTATAGGGTAATTTTAATGTGCTGAACGCGAATTTGCTATTTCCTTCGGTAATTATTTAGATTGTGACCGTCCGCTGTTTAAAAACACCAAGATTTCACAAATTTATTAGAAGATACTGTATTTTGTTCTGGAAAAAATATAAAAATAGTTGAACTTCTGTACCAGCCTGACCAAACCTCTATGTTAACTCACCTATATCTAAATAATGAAGCATTTACACAAGAAAATTAATAGAACTGAAAATAATCAGCATAAAGAACAGTGTCTAAATATATCCTCTATAATTACTGAACAGCTGATGGTCGCCTTTGTTTCCTGTACAAATGCAGAGTTTTATAGAAGCTATATGGAGAATACAGTGTTACCCCGCTTTACGCGGTTTCACTTCTCATTTACGCGGTGCCTCGCCAGAACCGAACTTTCACTTTCCGCGGTGCATCTACTCATATACGCGGGCAGGATGCGCACAAGGTCGACCAGTCATCAAAACATTACCGAGTTCTTCACCCGCCACCCACCACAGCCGACTTAAGTCAGTGATAGTGAGGATATGGACTTAAATGGACTTTGAGGGGTTTGACAAAGAGGCCCTGCAAGCCTATGTGGTGGATAGTGATACAATTGATACAAGTGATACAGGTGAGGGCCAATAATCTGCCTTCTGCCTCGGAACCAACCCCCCATCCCCGTGTGCCCAGCCATCTTTTCTACTAATGTAAGTGTTAAAAAAACTAATATTATTGATATTTCTCTTAATTATTAATTGTGTGTGCATACCATCATAAAGTTAAGATAATATTTTTACTACAACATAGTTGTGTGTTGTCAAAAAGTGGAGTTTGGGGGTCGGGCCAGTCTCTATTGGAATTAATCCCATATGTTCTGTTGTTCACTTTACGCGGTTTTCACTTTCCGCAGTACCCTGTGGGTTCAATTGACCGCGTTAAGCGGGGTACTACTGTACAGTAGAAACCTTACCTAACACAACGTCTCTCTTAACACGTCAGCAAGTGTATAAAGACAAATAACATGCAGAAATTAACAACACAAAGAATAATTCGATTTCATTCATTTTTTTCCACAGAAGTTCTTTGGATGATAGTAAAATATACTTTTCATCCATTATTTACTAAGTAAATAATAAAAATAATACAATTTTTTATTTTAATTATAAATATATTTTCTTATTTTTCTCTATAGTAAACTGTTCAACCATAATCACCTGTAGTGGGCAGGGTGTGAAGGATGAGGGACATTGTGGGGTAAAACACGGGGAAAACAGATCATATTACAGTATCTGTGATATCTCTGTTACCCGGAACAATTGGTGCAGAGCACTTCCAGGAATGAGGGATTTCCGGGTAACAAGACGACTCTCAAAGCCAGAAAAAAATCCCTTGTCTCTGGATTTTTTTTCGGAATTTCAAGAAAATGTGCCTGATTTTCACCTCTCAAACCCGGAAAAAACTCCCTCTTCCCTGGAATTTTCCGGGTACGGGAAAAATTTTCTCAGAATTTTCCATAAAATGTGCCCCATCGGAAAATCATTCCCAAAACCGAAATTGTCTGGAAAATTCCAGCTTTGGAAACGATTTTCCAAGAAAATTTCAATTCCAGTTATCGGAGTTCCGGGTTTGAGGGATTCCGGCTAACAGAGATATTACTGTACAGTGAAATGACGCCTCTATGTGCTTTGTAAACGAAGAAATTAATTATTTACCATAAATATTCCGCCGAAAAATCTGCCGTGTCAGTGCGTGTTGTTGTCCGCTCTATGTTTCTAGGCAACAACCAGCAAGTTGTTCATTCCATGAGTACTGTACAGTATTCTCTTGTTCACAAAACACTTAAAATTACACCATGATGCTCCAAGAAAGTTGTTTTTATTGATACCAGATATCAAAGTAAGTACTTTCTATTTAATATGGTGGGGGTCTGTCCCTCGGCTAGGAAGTTAGGGGTGCACCTCCAACTCGGCCCATCTTAAATAACCAACTTGGCCCATCTTAAATAACCAACTTGGCCCACACATTACTAACTCGGCCCATCTTAAATAACTAACTCGGCCCATCTTAAATAACCAACTTGGCCCACACATTACTAACTCGGCCCATCTTAAATAACCAACTTGTCCCACGCATTATTAACTCGGTCCATCTTAAATAACCAACTTGGCCCACACATTACTAACTCGGCCCATCTTAAATAACCAACTTGGCCCATCTTAAATAACCAACTTGGCCCACACATTACTAACTCGGCCCATCTTAAATAACCAACTTGGCCAACACATCGAGGGGAAAGTTTTGAATTGGATAAAATCATGGCTCACCAATAGAACGCAGAGGGTCAGCGTAGATGGTGTTAAATCTGAGTGGGGCCGTGTAACCAGTGGGGTTCCCCAGGGGTCAGTACTAGGCCCACTCTTGTTCATAATCTACATAAACGATCTAGATACCGGGATCAGCAGTGACATAAGCAAGTTTGCGGATGACACCAAAATAGGGCGGCAAATTAATTCAGGGCAGGATGCAAATGCATTACAGGAGGATCTAAACAAACTGCAGGGGTGGTCTGAAAAATGGCAAATGAAATTCAACACCAGCAAGTGCAGCATACTTAATATTGGAAGAACAAATACTTATAATGTATACAGCTTTAACAACATCAACCTAGAGAAGTTGACTTGTGAAAGAGACCTAGGGGTACTTGCAAGCCCGGACCTACGGCCTAGAAAACAGTGCGTTAATGTTCGAAATAAGGCAAACAGAGTATTGGGTTTTATATCTAGAAGTGTAAGTAACAAGAGTGCAGAGGTTTTATTGCAACTATATCTTGCGCTAGTCAGGCCGCACCTCAATTATGCGGTTCAGTTCTGGTCCCCCTATTATAGAATGGATATAAATTCACTAAAGTCGGTGCAGCGAAGAATGACAATAATGATTCCGGGACTTAGAAACCTTCCATATCAGGATAGGTTTAAGAAACTTAACTTGCATTCCCTAGAAAGACGAAGAGTGCGGGGAGATATGATAGAAGTATTTAAGTGGGTGAAAGGAATCAATAAAGGGGATATAGATAAAGTTCTTATAATATCCGAGCAGGATAGGACTCGGAGCAACGGATTCAAGTTGGATAAGTTTAGGAGGGAGATAGGAAGAAACTGGTTCACAAATAGGGTGGTGGACGAGTGGAACAAGCTTAGCAACTTTGTAGTAAGTGCGGGAACTCTGGAAAGTTTCAAAAGGAGGCTAGATAGATTCATGGATGATAGAGAGTGGTAGTAACTCTCGACAGGAGCTGCCATGCACAGGCCAACCGGCCTATTGCAGACTCCTTATTTTCTTATGTTCTTATTACTAACTCGGCCCATCTTAAATAACCAACTTGGCCCACACATTACTAACTCAGCCCATCTTAAATAACCAACTTGGCCCATCTTAAATAACCAACTTGGCCCACACATTACTAACTCGGCCCATCTTAAATAACCAACTTGGCCCACACATTACTAACTCGGCCCCCCACCTTACACAATTCAAACAGCTGCTGACGAGAGGTTCAGGAATGAGTTTAAGATATGTTTTATGTTTCTTTTGGTTCACTGAAAAACGAACAGTGTGAATGAGTGAATACCGAGGGTTCAATCTGTATGAAGGACGAATTTTATGAGTTTATGTTCGTAGAACTTGATCAATGAACCGTGATTCACATTCATAACTTGTGCTTCTCCAAGTAATTTTCAATAGGTTTGAAATTATTGCTTCCTGCAATTTGCCTACAATTGATGTTAAACTAATGGGACAGTAGCTAGAGGATAGTGATCTATCTCCCTTCTTGAAAATTGCTATCCTCCAGGATTCTGTTAAACAAATTTGCTAAAGGCATACTAAGCTCTTCCTTACATTCCTTTAATACTCTGGCAAATATCTCAGCGGGACCTGGTGACTTATTAGGCTTTAGTTTGTCTGTTTGCTTACTGACATCGTTACTTGTCACTACTATCTCGCTTAATCTATTTTCTTCACTATCTCCGTATAGAGTCGGTGCCTCGGGTATCCTGTTTAAATTGTCTGTCGTGAAAAGTGTTGAAAAATACCTGTTCAGATTATTGCTCATTTCTCCGTCGTTATCAGTTAGCTCGCCGGTATCTGACTGTATTGGTCCAATCTTTTCCTGTGTTTTAGTTTGATACATTTGAAAGAATCCTTTGGGGTTTGACTTAGCCTCTCTTGCTACCTTCAGTTCATTATTCCTCTTTGCTTTTCTTATCTCGGTCTTACCCGACTGGCCAATACCTTATAATAATCTCGGAGGTAAACTTCACCACAATTTATTCTTCTACCAATAGCCTTCCTTTGTCCAATAATATTCTTTAAATAATTATTTATCCATTTAGGGTCATTGTTGTTTGATCTGAGTTTTCTGTATGGTATGTTCTGCTTTTGTGCATTAAGTAACTCATTGTTTAAATTCTTATGGAACTCGTCAACCTCAGATCTCGTGATCAGGTCATCCTCAACCTTCATATTTTGTGAGGATATCGTTGTCAGGTCTCCAGATAGTGATCTTAATTGTGAACTAAATAAAATACAGGTACTCCTCGACTTACGACCACCGCAGTTGTATAAAATATTTTTTATACAGTATAGTCTGGATTTACGTTTTAATTACGCGGTAAATTTCGTCATTTATACAGGAAGCGGCGCGGGCAGGGTGCGCACAAGGTCGCCCAGTCATCAAAACATTACCGACGTTAGTGATCGCGCTGTGTACCGACACAATTTTCGTTTGTAATTCCCTTTAAAATGGCTGGCAAGCTTAAAAGTGAGAGTTTTGTGGTGCCGAGACGAAAAAGAGACGCCCATTTTAGATTTTCTATGTATTATTTTCACATTTTCGACTTACGACCTGGCCGTCGGTCCCTACCCGTCGTAAGTCGAGAACTGACTGTATATCAAATTATATAAAATAAAAAAGTTCACATCTTCCACATATGTACATTAATATATTAATAAGACAGAATGAAAAGATAAATACTGTAATAACAAATCACCCCCCCCCTCCCTTACAATCTATGCTGCTTTTTATCATTGTACTTATATCATGCATGCAAAAATTTTTAAACTTTTAATTTTACGTTTTAGTCCAAGTTCGTTCACCTAAGTGGTCCGAGTTGGCATTTAATAGTCCGAGTTGGATGTAACCAAAGTTAGGTCAGGTCGGGTAGGTTTCTTTGGTTGGTTAGGTAAGATTATATTAGGTTCTATACGTTGTTGTATCATTTTTATTACTTAATATCATCCCAAGATCATATGTGGAAAAAATTAACAAAATTGGACAATGCATTCTGGTGGTAGCCGTCTGCTCCACGATGTAGCCTCCACCATTACCCCAGATTTAGTTTAAAGTCCACTGCACACTTTCTAAAAGGTTGACTGGGCGCCTAAACGAATACTCGACAAAAAATTTATAAGTTCCCGATGCTTCCTATTTGAGGTCTGCGTAAAGGATACACCCCATTTCGTCACCAATCCACATCGTCACCGACCCGGATCGTCACCAATATCAATTCCGTTTCGTCACCACTAACAGTCGCTGGTGTGAGTGACAAATTGTAAGCTATTATTTTAAATGAATAGAAATTACACATATATACAGACGACTCAGGAAGTATTGTTATTATTATACATATTAATAATTTAATAAGAAAACGATTAAAGCATTGGTAAATATACAAAATACAGAACAAATGAAGGTGATTTGGCATCAGTTTATAAACCACCGAGCAGTGAGATGATTGCAGGTGTATTAACAATGTTTATTATTTATTTTCATCTTTAATAAATTGTCTTAGTGTTTTTTATTACTTTATATCCCAAGCAACAGTTATTTTTGTGTATATATTGATGGGAATGAACGGGGTGATGAAAGTGGCAAAGCAGTGGTGACGAAATGGGTAGACCCCCCCCATATAACCTATGGAAAACAGCTACCATAGTGTTTTAAATATTGAATATGAAGCAGTAAGGTCCTTTGCATTGTCTCGAATTTCTTTTTAGTTAGGTATAGCTAATTAACACAGACACCTGTACTTAAATATTACCACACGATTCATTGCTTTTCTAACTACCATCTTTACCCACACTGTTACACCACAAAACTATGTGTCTGTCTTCCCTCCCCACACATCTCTGCTTCCTTCCCTCCCCACACACACATCATATCATCCCCAGTTCTTGTGATATAACACGTGTTGGCCTCCAGATGCTGCCGCTGTACTGGACCTACACCTGTGGGGGATAACCTCACTCTTGGATCACCAGATAGTCATCAATGGTATATACAACCTTCATCAATGGTATATACAACTTTCATCAATGGTATATACAACCTTCATCAATAAATCGACCTTCGTATATATATATTCTATAATGGCATAGAGAATAAAATACCGTAATATTATGACGTCTCAATGGACCTATACACATTAAACACGGATTACCAATATATCCAGTCAATATTACCCAATCAGACAGTCCAATATATCCACTCAATATCATCAAATCAGACGGTCATAAACAATAGATCCAAATAGTAACATTATATGAAAAATGAAATACAAACCTCAGAGTGCAGCAGGACGCCTCGTGGGGGTAACAGACACACTTCTTCCATCAATCTTTACCAAATTCCTTAACTAACAGCAAGATTATTAATTAAAAGAAAATTAATATCATATAAACTTACAAAGGTATTCTATGTGTTTTAGAGGTAGATAAAGTAATATAATACCGAAAATGAGATCAATAATTTCACTAACACCAACAACCTTGACACTACAGCTGCAACTAATATTTTCCCGCCGTCTTAATGTCCAAAATGTTATTACCCAAAATTTTATATTTAGAGTATTAATTATATCTATATAATATTTTATATATTATTTGTATTTAATCTATCCATGTACTTGAGCTTTTGATAGGTTATATTAGCTGGATATACCTTAATAGTAAAGAGAGGTGGTATATTTAACAACTCAGTAAGAACAATAATTGGGTTAATAATTAGATCTCTAAAGCTATATATGTATATCATTTATCAGTGTTTTGGCTTTATAGTAGATTATCTTAACTATTAATATAACACTTGAGCGCGAATTCCGTTACACAGGATTTTTTGTTTACTCCTAAGGTCATAAATACCAACTCCTTTAATTTTTATTTTTAATTTTACGGGGATTAGCTCACCCGGGCACCTCGGGGCCTGGGGGGAGGAAATGTAATAAAAATAATAAGAAAAATAATAATAATAATAATAATAATAATAATAATAATAATAATAATAATAATAATAATAACAGCAACAACAAAAAACAATAACAATAATAATAATACACTGGGCTGCATTTGAAAAAAAAAATTCATGAGGTGCGGGGTTTCTTAGCTGATTCTTTATGTATTTTGCGTGCTGATTCCAAAAATGCCATTCATTTTGCCCATTCAGGTCAGATTTTTATGCTATGGGAATTAGGAAAAAATCGAAATTCTTAAATATGATGTCAAAATTTTTATGCAAAATATATCATAAGAAATGTAACCACAACACATAGGACCAAAATATGTCAACTACATTGTGGGGTATGAGATGTTTGGATGTACAATGCAGCTTGGTGCTGGGAAGGCAGCATGGTTACAAGCGTGATGTAGAGAGAGCTGGTTGGTGAGGACGCTCAGAGAAGGACAGCTTGTGGGTCGCCATGCTCGCCAGCGGGAGAGAGGACCGCCAGGCAGGCGGAGGAGCGAGGACCGCCAGGCAGGCGGAGGTGTTGCTGGCTGGTTGGTGTAGGTAGAAAGAGAGAGATCACCACGAGGTCAGGTCTTAAATAGCGGGGGTAGGCGTGGCTTAGCAGTTGACCCCCGCTCCGTGATGTATGGCGGCGCTGGTTGACCTAGACCACGAGGCATACACTGGGGAATTGGTGGGGTCGGCTAGGCAGCGACAAACAGCGTTTGTAGGGGAGAATTCCACTACAATACTCCCCCTTCCCTCCAGGCTGTGTAGGAGACTTGTTGTCTGCAGAGTTGCATAGCACATGTGAGGCAGAACGGGCGGTGCGTGCCTCATGTGAGACAACGGCGATGGCGTGGATGAGCCGGTCGCTGGGGACAACTGTCTAGATACACAATATCTGTGGGAGTAGAGAGGGAGAATAAGGGTGTGTGGAGGCGATGAATGTTGTGCTTCCCTCACGGCAGGTACAGAGTCGTCAGATGCGCCTGCTGGGGTGTGTGGGCCTGGGTCAGGAGCAGGGGCTGTGTCAGCAGAAGCGGATGAGGGCTCGTGACAGCAGCTGGGTCCACGACAGCAGCAGGGTGCAGGACATTAGCAGGGAGTACCTGAGGGAGAAAAGAGGGGTGTGTGGGTCCGCACTCAGGAACAGAGGCCGCATCAGGGGCGGCAGGGGTTACTGCTGGGCCGGGGTCGGCGTCTGAGGCAGGACGGGTGTGCTGGGGTCGGTAGGACGTGGTGCTTGGGGCAGGAAGAGGAGCTGGTGTCTGCTTAGAGAAGCAGAGCTGCTCTAGGGTGTCTAACCTGCGGTGTAGAGACAGTAGCTGTAGAGCCGATGATAGCTGCTTCTGGGTGGATAAGCCAGTCTTCCATGTTGCTTGAAGACTGGGAGCGTGATCAGTTTCTCCTCCATCCTGTGTGAGTGCGAATCTCCGGGAGTCACCATTTGTGGGGTATGAGATGTTTGGATGTACAATGCAGCTTGGTGCTGGGAAGGCAGCATGGTTACAAGCGTGATGTAGAGAGAGCTGGTTGGTGAGGACGCTCAGAGAAGGACAGCTTGTGGGTCGCCATGCTCGCCAGCGGGAGAGAGGACCGCCAGGCAGGCGGAGGAGGAGGAGGTGTTGCTGGCTGGTTGGTGTAGGTAGAAAGAGAGAGATCACCACGAGGTCAGGTCTTAAATAGCGGGGGTAGGCGTGGCTTAGCAGTTGACCCCCGCTCCGTGGTGTATGGCGGCGCTGGTTGACCTAGACCAAGAGGCATACACTGGGGAATTGGTGGGGTCGGCTAGGCAGCGACAAACAGCGTTTGTAGGGGAGAATTCCACTACAACATAGATGCCTTTACAGTTAGACATGCATAAATGGCTGTCGCAGAGAATTTCTTTGGTGGTTGGTGTCTGGGGCGTCCCGTTTCAGACACCAACAGTAGTCGGCGAGCATGTTGATATCCCGGCGGCCCTGGTACCGCTCCTCCATTACACGGATATCTTGATGGAAGCGTTCTCCTTGTTCCTCACTCACATCACCACAGTTCTCTGGAAAGTAGTCCAAGTGGGAGCTGAGGAAGTGCATCTTGATGGACATGCGTGCACCAAGAACTTTGTAGCTCAGAAGTAGGTCCTCAACAACTCGTCCATACTCTGGACTTCTGTAGTTGCCAAGAAAATTGGAGACAATAGACTTATAGGCATGCCAGGCTTTCTTCTCATTTACATCCATGCTGCAATCAAACTTGGGATCTTTGAAAAGCTCTCTGATCTGAGGGCCATCAAAAATTCCTGCATTCAGCTTTGCCTCACTGACTTTTGGACATTTTTCTTTCAAAAAATTGAAAGCCTGGCTTTTTTTGTCCAGTGCCTTTACAAAGTTTTTGAACAGACCGAGCTTGATGTGCAGTGGCGGAAGAAGAATGTTCTGCAGATTCACCAGAGCATGGGCAACAACATTGTGAGAACCTGGAGTAAGTCCACTTCTTGCAGGCCAGTCACGTTGCATGTAGTGCTGCTTGTCTGCTCGACTATCCCACAGACAGAGGAAACATGCCATGTACCACCAGATGAAAAAGAAATTTAATTGTGAAAAAATATATGTAAAAAAACACGGACATATACTCTTTTCCTTTGCGTCACGGCGGACATTTAAATGCCCGGCGAGCACGTGGGTGTATTTAAATGCATCGTAAGGGCATTAAAACTGACCGAAATCTTTTCTGAGGCTTGCCAATGCCTCGGATGATTTTTTTAATGAACGAATATGAGAACCCCATTTTGAGCGAAAAATGCCAATATTTTACCTGAATCTCCGCTTAAAATGCTATAGCACAAAATTCTGACCTGATTGAGCAAAATGGATAACATTTTTGAGATCAGCATGCAAAATACACACAGAAAAGCTTAATAATACACAAACCTCAAAACTATGCAGGGCAGTGTAATAATAATAATAATAATAATAATAATAATAATAATAATATTAATAATAATAATAATAATAATAGTAATAATAATTCATAGTAAATAAAATTTATAACAAAAATAAAAATTTTAAAACAAAATAATAATGTAGCATAGTATATGTGGCCATACATACGTACATGAAGGAGATCTCGCACCAAGGATGGTGAGAAGGGAAACTCACAATAGCGTTTTATATATACACATTGTATGTACAATGCAGTGCTAGGGAGTTGCTGTGTGGTGAGGAGCTTGTTGAGGGGGAGGTTGTAGTGGATTTCTCCCCTACAACCGCTGTTTGTCGCTGAATAGCCGACCCCACCAATTCCCCAGTGTATGCCTCGTGGTCTAGGTCAACCAGCGCCGCCATACACCACGGAGCGGGGGTCAACTACTAAGCCACGCCAACCCCCGCTATTTAAGACCTGACCTCGTGGTGACCTGCCTCTTTCTACCTGCACCAGCCAGCCAGCGGCCCTCGCTCCTCCTCCGCCTGCCTGGCGGTCCTCTCTCCAGCTGGCGAGTATGGCGACCCACAAGCTGTCCTTCTCTGAGCGTCCTCACCAACCAGCTCTCTCTACATCACGCTTGTAACCATGCTGCCTTCCCAGCACCAAGCTGCATTGTACATCCAATACAACATGTATACAGAGAGCACAGTTGTCAATTCTCTTTGTATGGGCACACAAACGTACGTACATGTAGATATCTCACACTCAGGAATGAGGTAGGATAGAAACTCACAATGCGCTTTCTGTATTTATATTGTTGTACAGCGAAGTGCTTAGGAGTGACTAGGTGAGGAGAAACTTGCTCAGAGGTCCTGTAGGGCGAGGAGGTTTCTGAGGAAGCTGAGTGGTGAGGAGCTGTGAGAGATGTTGCTGGTCCAGTAGCCGAGTGTAGAGTGGTCTCCCTGGCTGTTGTTGAGATTGTCGGACCGTAGTCCGACACGGGCCTTTGCCTATAGGCGGCCCGTTTGGTGGTTCCGGCTGGAGCTCCTGGAGCAGCCAGACAGGATTGGGATTGGAGGTGGTCCCACCTGCAGATTGGAAGGATACTGCAGGTTGCAAGTGTGAGCGGACCCCCGATCAGTGGATGCTTACCACCAACCCCCACTCTTGGACGTGGTCAGTTTCGGAGTGGCGCGCCCCCCGAACTGGGGTCCGCACTTGCTGGGAGAGGATACTTTCTAAGCTATCTGGGTGGTGGGTATCGTGTGATGACCCGGAGTAGGTGGTGAATTTGGTCTGTATGGGCCTTTCGGGTTAGAGTGACCGCTAGTGTTGCGTGTGTTTCTTGGGAGATTTGAGTTCTGTTTCGGAGGCTTTGTGTGACTTCGCCAGGCATTGCCGTATTTATACAATTTACGAGGATCAGGATTTGGGGTGAGCGTAGCGAGAGGACCAATCACAGCGGCTCAAGCGTAAGGTGTGAAACGCTCTGATCCTGAACCAGAGGTTGAAGGTCGAGACTAGGTCGGCGATCGTACCCCTACGTCCTCTGCATAG